TCAATGATATTATGAGATTATCTAGCACTGTACTTCACTCAATTTTGTTTTAGCTTAAAATCATTTCAAAGTTATAAAATCTAAAATAAGAAAATTTGAAAAATAAAAATAGTTAATTTATATATGTAAGCATCACAATAATAGGGTTTTTACATGGGAGGCACCTAGAGATTTGGTATCAATGAGTTGTGAGCAAGCCTAAATAAGAGATTAGGACACCACTTCCAATCCAAAACCTTAAGACAGAGTTTGAGTCCTTCTACTTATATACTAGTCATCTTTCTCATTTTTATTCATTGTGAGACTTACTTCTCACCTTGAACTTTTAACAATGTCATCTTCAAGTGTGAGACTTTCCATATTGGAACACCTCCCTCTCTAACATGAGTACCTAGTGGTGATCATTCTTTTGTATTGTCATTCTATAACGGGACACACTTTACTGAAACAATTTGATACAAGGAACCCTTAGACTTTAGGATTCTTTACCTACTTTATACCATACTCGCTCAATTCGTCACTAACATGAACCATAAACTTCGATACCATTATAAGTTTTTTTATGAGGGGAGACATTGGGAGGTTTGATACCAATGAGTTGTGAGTAAGCCTCTATGGGAGACCAAACCACCACTTCCAACTCAAAACCCTAAGAGAATGAGTTTATGGGTCCTTTTACTTATATACTAGTCATCTTTCTCATACTTCTAATTCACCTTTAAATCTTAACAAATATTGAGTATCAGAATAATAACACAAGTACTCATAACTAAAATATAAGGAACAAAATAGATAATAGACAAAGAACGTAATTTGATTAAAGAAAGAAAAATTATATACCCTTCTCTTTAGCCCTAAGGAGAAAACAATGACAACCTCTCTCTTGAAAATAAAAAAAAACAAATAAAAGGAGAAACTAACATTCTCTCTCTTAAAGGAGAAAGTAATCATCTCTCTTAGTTTTTTTCTCAAGCATAAAGCAAATGGAATGAAAAGGAATAGACTTTAGGATGTGTTCTTAAGGAAATAATCATCTCTTTTTATAAAATGAAAAGTAAGCTCCAAGATAAGTTCTTACAAATATGGGACTTCTCTTCTCACATTTTCTCACTTGAAGATTTTGATTAAATTAATCAAATCTTCACGTCATGCTTTATTATTTGTCATCATGTTGCAACACTCTAATACTCTCCACCTGGATTTGCTATGAACCTAATAACCACTCCCATTACTTATCAATGTCTAGTCTTGTACAAATCATAGCATACATAAGACTACCCACTGTTGATGCATACGGTACTTGAGACATCTCCATTCTCTCCGCTTCACTACTACAAATCATACATAAGGATAACTTACAATTGATGGAAAGTGGGGAGAATTTGGCTTAAAATCTTGCATATTGAAGTGCGATAATATTTTCAATAAGTAATTTGTCTATGAAAGCCAAATCTTCCTATCTTTTCTATCTTGGTGAATTTTCATCTATAAAACCTTATTTGTTGGTCCCAAGTCCTTATTATCAAGCTCCCTATATAACTATGTCTTCAATTATTGGATTTGAGCTTTATTGGAGCCCACCTCTAACATCTTATCCATATACAACAATAAAATGATAAAATCATCTTCACCAAACCTATTGCAAGGAAAACAATGGTTTGAACTTAGTCTATTGTAACCAAGGTTAACGATGAAGGAATCAAATCTCTTGTATGAACATTTGAGCGTTCGCTTTAAACCATACAAAGATTTGTTCAACCTGCAAACCAAATTTTATTTTTCTTTAAAGCCTTATGGTTTGCATCCTTCTTAACAATAACCTTGTGGGTAGTGGGAACCCACAAACGATACCCTTTGGAATTATCAGTACAGACCAAACACTTAATTCTTTTCCCAGTTTCAAGCTCTACTCTAGCTTTGGATTCCTTGAATATTGATAAGACATTTGTCTTCCTCTTGGTGAGGTATACCCATAATCTCCTAAAGTAATTATCAATGAACAAAAAAATTTTCCTCTCCTAGGGATGATACTGGAAATTCCCACACATTAGAATGAATCAAGTCTAATATTAATATGTGTTACTTTTGGTAGCCACCCTAGCAAAATTTAATCTATATTGCTTTCTTATCACACAGTACTTGCAAAAAGGTAAATCAATCTCCTTGAGCCCGAATAAGAGATAAAGTTTCGCAAGGATTTGCAGACCTCGCACTGACATATGCCCAAGTCTACGATGTCCCGTCATCATTGTTTCTTCTTAACTTGTCGATGCAATTGTTGCATTAACTTCTTGCAACATATCTCCTGTAAGATCATAAAAAATTGACATGATCTTCTCTGCTTTCATAAATACCATATTCTTTCTTGACATGCCCCATCTTGTTACAATGGTAGCATTTGAGATGCTTCTTACTTTGAGACTTTGATCTATCATAAGTTTGACTCCCACTAGATCCATATTGTGTTGATCTACCTCTCATCATCACCAAAGCCTCTACGTACTTTAAACTTTTCACCATATCCAAACAAAATCTTGAATAAAGTAAGTTCAATTTATGCTCAGTTAAAAAAAACTTAATTAAAAAATTTTTAGTTATACTTTATTTTTAGGCAAGAAAAGGGAAATTAATACTCTAATGCAATAAGAAATAAAAAAAAAACCTATAAGCTTGGACAATTTTCTTTAAATTTTAACTAGTTGGTAATATATAATGAGGATAATTAGGGCACAAACACATCTCTTTAATCATCTATGGAGTTTTTTATTCATTTTTTCTTTTTTTTTTGTTATTTTGTGTTTTCCTATTTATGGATATATGTTATGACTGTTTTCTTTACATTTTAACTAGTTAGTAATATGTAATGAGGACAATTAGAGCACAAAAACATCTCTTTAATCATCTATGGAGTTCTATATTCATTCTTCTTTTCTTTTTATTATTTTGTATTTTCCTGTTTATGGATATACTTGTTCTTGTTGACACAACTAGACATTTGACTCTATTCTTGAAAAACAAGTGCATTGAGTAATATTTAAGACCTTGCACCTGTAATCATTCATACATTTCAATGTAGTTATTGGTTATTGGAAATGTGTTTTTTAGTTTTTATGTTATACAATGTATCTTGTGTATGAGTGATTGATTAAGCTTGTTTGATGTTAATTATGATTTTCAAGTTAGGTAAACTTTTTTTATTGAATTTTGACATTTTGTTGTTGATTAAATTTTGAATATATTTGTAGTATATATGAAATCATAGTTAAGAAGTGAAATTTAGTTTCCATTTGAGATTTAACACAAATGATTAAACTTTTAATCATTTGTATTAAATCTTGAATTGTTCGATCGGAAAGTTTGGAAAAATTATTTTTCATAATTTGCAATAACATGTATGTTAAAGTTTATGGATAAATTTGATAAAATTTAAGTTGAGATTATTTATATTGTTCTCCGGATGCATATTTGATTGTGGTCATCCGTGACCACTTTCATTTAGTATATTTCGGAGATCAATGCGAAATGTTGCCGAAATTTTATCAAATTTATCATGTTAGGCTTTTTTGTATGTATGTTAGCAATTATAAAAAGTAAATTTTTTGAATGGGTATGGGCCTAATCCCGTGAGAGTTAAAAATTTGAGGCTGATGAAATTTCTTACGAACATACTATGGATCGAAACTAGATGAATGAACGTCACATCAGTCAAGAGTATAAAAAATGGGTTTTTGAGTTTTTGCAATATGTTAAAAAAAAAATACCTACACTATGAACGAGACATATTTTTGTGTTTGTTGTCTCAATCAAATACTTTAAGACTTAAGCAATATGTGTGACCATCTATTCTTGTTCGGTATAATGAGAACTTATATAGTTTAGACTTGACATGAAGAAGTATTAGACAAGCCTACAACGTCACGAGGAACAAATTATGTGGAAGAATATTTGAGTGATCATTTAGAGAACATGACAATATTGGTGAACAAATTTTGAAAGAGGTAATTTGTATTATTCTCTTAGGAATGGTACAGAGCAAGAGTTGTATCCAGAATGCTTCAACTTTACATGTTTGTCTACAATTTTGAAATTGTTTAGTTTATCATAATTATTTAAAACAAACATATAAAATAAATAATTTTATAATTTTATTATAAAAATTAATTTTAAGGGTTAAATAATAAAATGATTTATACAAGCAAGGATAAAATTGACAAAAAAAAAATGTATACCCAAAAATCAAACCGTTATAAGAGAATTACAAAAATCACTCCTTTATTTTATCATAATTATTTTAAAAAATAAAATATTAAATAAATATTTTTATAATTTTATTATAGAAAACTAATTAAATTTAAAAAAATTAATTATAAAACGTAAAAGATAAAATATTAAAATAATTTATGAGTAAAAATAAAATTGATAACGAAATATATGTACACAACAGTTATAAAAAACTAATCTATTTATTAACAGATATATATACATAAAACTAAAATATGTTTCGTAAGATATTTTTATCTACTCTAGTTTTAGAAGTATAATGATAGAATGGTGGTTTATAAGTATGTTTCTGTAATTTTATTGATTTAATTATTTGAAAATTAATTATTCACAGTTCATATTACTTATTATAGTAAAAATTATAAATAGTATGAAAACTAATAAAATATAACCATTTTATGTATATATACTTTTTCTTTATAATTTTAACTACATTTAATAATTATTTATTTTAATAGTTAGCTTTTAATCAGAATCATAGCCTGTGTTTCCCCAGCTATTATGTATATATAGTATACAAATTAAAATACTCATCTATATAATGTAGAAATTGGAAAGAAAACCAAATAAAGATGTTACAAAAAGAGTAAAAAGGAAAAAAAAAAACTATATGACGCGTATGGGCCGCCAGGTTGGAAGTCCAGAATGTTCTTTTGTATCGCAACGGCTGACTTAAGCTCCAAGCTATTCCCAAAACTATAAATACTTCTCTTCTTTTCTTCTTCCCTAATTCAATCTCTTCAATTCAATTTTATCGGTTTTTCCTTTTTCCGCAAACTCAAAACCCTAACAATGGCATCAGGCGGAACCGAGGCCTTTCCAGATTTGGGTAAACACTGCCAACACAGCGATTGCCACCAACTCGATTTTCTTCCTTTCACATGCCAAGGTTGCCAAAAGGTAATTCAACTTTCTCTTCTTCTACCATCAAAGGTTAATTGCAATACTTTATTCAATATGTTTAATTTCATCATACAAATTCCAATTTTGCTTATGTGATTTTCAGAAATTAATAGTTCTATGTTCTAAATATGGGTTTTCAGTTCTCAAAGTGTTTTTGATCATGCTGGTTATTCTTGCACTTATCTTATTTTTCCAAAATAGTAAATTTTTTATTATTAGACCAAAACATAGTCAATAATCAAAATGGAAAATGATACTTGAACAACCATTTTTGACAACATTTAGACACGCACACACGTATTTAAATTTGAGTGGTCCAGTTGGAAAAATTAAATGAAAATGGACCACTCAAATTTAGACTCAAATTTAGACACGTGTGCGCGTGTCTAAATGTTGTCAAAAATGGTTGATCAAGTGTCATTTTCCAATCAAAATAGAGGTATAATACAAACAATTCATAAAACAATATATTCATAACTGTTTGTCTCTATCTCTTTCCATAACAATCACATGTAATAAATTGTGTTAAGAAAATGGATCAAACAAGAAAAATTGTTGTACACGAAATTTCTCTTAATCTGAAATGTTTGTAAAGCCTCAGGCCAACAACACTAACATGGCTGCAATTTGACAGGTGTTTTGTTTGGAGCACAGATCCTTCAAGTCTCACGCGTGCAAGAATTCCGACCACAACAGCAGAAAAGTGGTTGTCTGCGAAACGTGTTCCATGTCCATTGAGACCACCGGCTATGTGGGACAGGAAGAGGAGGCAATCTTGGAGAAGCACCTAAAGTCTGGGAACTGTGATCCCACCAAGAAGAAGAAACCCGTTTGCCCTGTCAAGCGCTGCAAGGAGGTTTTGACTTTCTCCAACACCAGTACCTGTAAAACTTGCCACATTAAGGTGTGCCTCAAGCACCGTTTCCCTGCTGATCATGCTTGCAGCCAAGGAGTTTCAGCTTCTTCCTCATCCTCTGTTGCTGAAAGTGGATGGAAGAATCGGTTTTTGGCTGCTTTAGGTTTAAGGGCTGGACAGAACTGTGCCAAAACTGGTTCATCTCGTTCTACCTCTCCTCCTAGCACTCCTTCTGTCAAGGCCTATTGAATGCTATTTGCTTTGAATGATTTCAGAGTGGTTTGATGGAATGTTGTAGTATGTTCCATTCTGTTGCAATTTGAATGTTCAAATTTACAGCATAAACTACGATATTTATTTAGATGTCGTGTGGTAGCACACACTATTGTTCCCATTTGAACTAGGGTCATAAATACCTTTTCAATGTACATCCTTGCTTATAAAAACAAATACTGAAAGGTTCAATTGCCATTCATACAATTCACGATGCTTCTCAATCTTCTTTAATATATAATAGTTTTATTTACATAACTGTCTCTTTGCACCAGAGTCATTGGTTGGTTGCGGTGGTTTTCCAGATGGGAAAGATATGATATGAATGCAAATACAAAATTACATCTGATTTTTGACAAAATACAAATATATTACCTACATATCATTACGTCTTTCGTTTTTAATTGCCTTTTCAAATGTGGGCGTTAAATTGTCTGCACTGCAAGAAGACGAATTCCATAGGATAAAATAGTACATTCTCATCAAAATATGTATGTGCTAAATGAATGAATTACTTTATGAAGAAATTGAATTGAAGAACCAAAGCTGTTATCGTGAGAGTGAGAAATACCTTGCAGTGGCATTCCTTCCTATCAAACAAATTCACGAATTGAAATTCAATATTCAAGACGGAGCAAACTTAGGGCCGGTGTTTTTCTCATCAATGTTTCTTGACCAAAATATAGCATAAAATTGCTACAGTCCAGATAATTTATTTAAAACTCAGAACAGACGAAGTTAAAAAATATAAGCCAAGGTAGTCAGATTTCAAACCTTGATACAATGTCCTCACAACAGTTTTTGGCCAACGTTATTTCAAGCTACCTATTGAATAAATAGTTATTTACAAGATAAATAAGATCATTTCTATAATGTTCTGTGATTTGGTTGTTTATAGGTAAATATACAATTGTAATTTCCTACAAGGAAAACAAATATTCCTTTAGTTGAGTTGTTTTTGTATATCCCCTCTTGTTGAACAAAAAAATAAAGATTAAGGGGTAAACCAGTCTCTGGATTCTTGTATTATAATAACCAATGCACAATAACTGCCAAAACTGATATTTGTGCTGTGTGCTGATTTCAAAATATTGAATCCAAAATGAAACTAATTTAAACAGATACATGCCTGAATTGCAATAATACTTGGTCATTACAATAGAAGGAGCTTCAAACTTCATAACTTGTGATCAAAGAAGGCATATTTCTTCCCAGGTAGTAATACCAGATATAAATTCCTTTCTCATGGGAATGCTAGGGCAGACCCAAAATGTTCCCAGATGTTCTTTGGATATTGATTGTTTGTTCTTATTATATCAATATATATAGAAAATAAGAAAGCTTAACTCTGAAATTACAAGTTGCCCAGTGGATTAACCACTTCAACAGCATCATTTTGTCTCTACTCTGCTGTGCAGATCTTTCTTACAATGCCCTCTTCTCTACATGCATCCCATTCTGCTCCTTTGATCCATTCCTATATAGAAGACAAGCCATACTGGTTCTTCTTCATATTATAATACAGGGCTAAGGGGGTATTTGCATAAGATAAAAAGCAAATGCAGCTCGAAAACCTAAAAGTATAAAATGACCCTACAAAATGTTGATTTTAAACAGGCAAACATGAACATCTAGGACTTAAAAAATCTAGATTTGAGGTTGGTTGACCAAAATACATAATCATCTATCTCCTTTTATAGTCTCTCCTTAATGCAAAAAGAAAACTTAATTATCTCTGCAACATGTACAGAATTTTCAAAGATCATGAAAACCCTATCAAAAACATACGATGTTAGAAAATGTTCTATATATCTCGTTTACAGACACGAAGGAAGCAAATTAACCTACTCTTCACTTTTGATTTGTATCTGTAGACCTTCACAAAAGCACCTTACATATTTTGTCTCATTACTTCTCATTTCCAACATCTTCTCTTCTTCAAAACTTGATTACACGTGTGAGAATTAGACGTTGCCAAATGTAAAATTTTGATGTGCATAATAAGATTAATAAAAAATGCAACGTGTAAAAAAGATACAGTAGCAAATGTCACAGTTTAAACGGTGTTTCTACTACTCTTGCTTTGTTTTATGTTTGATTGTTTTTAAAATTTTGCTATTGAAAGTATATATTTTGTAGATAATATATATCAGGGGAAAAATATATCGTGGCTCGTCGTCGTCGTGTTGGAAAATTCTGAATTCGCGATTGATTCTAGAATCTTCTTTTCTAATTCATTGTTTATGATTGAATATTCTTCGAATCTATTCATCAGTTTTTCAGTTTTTCACGAACTCAGAACCATATTGGTGTATCCATGGCATCAGGTGGAACCGAAACTTTTCCTGATTTGGGTAAAAACTGCCAGCACCGCGACTGCAACCGCCTCGATTTTCTTCCTTACATCTGCGACGGTTGCCAACAGGTAATTCATCTTTCTCTTCTCATTGCATCCAAGTTGATTACAAAACCTTCTGCATCATTTCTGCAATTGAAACCTATTTTTTTTTTTCTTTTTATCAGTTAACCAAACAGTGTATTTCTGCAATCAAAATATCAGTGCCCTAATAGGGAACTTTAAATAAATGAATTATTTTTAAAAAAAAATCAGTCACTGTAGAATCAGGATAGAATTTGTTTAAAAAAATAGAAAATTGTTTATTTTATTAAAAAATAACCGAAAATAAATCGGTAGATTTTGTTTAATTATTTTTAGTCAGATTAAAATTGTAAGAAAATAATTTATAATATGAAGCAATTTATTTTCAGAATTTAATCAGTTGATGGTGTAAAATTCATAAACAAAAATATTATTACCAATAAAATACAAGAGACTTTGTAAACAGCTATTAGTAATAATCACATTAATCTGAAATGGGCAGCACTAACATGACAGCAATGGTAGGTGTTTTGTTCGGAGCACAGATCATACAAGTCCCACGCGTGCCCGAAATCTGACCTAAGCAGAAAAGTGATTGTTTGCCAAACATGTTCCATGTCAATTGAGACCACCGGCTACGTGGGACAAGACGAGGATGCAATCTTGGAGAAGCACCACAAGTCTGGTAACTGTGATCCCACAAAGAAGAAGAAACCCATTTGCCCTGGCAAGGGATGCAAGGAGATTTTATCAATATCCAACACCAGCACATGTAAAACTTGCCACCTGAAGGTGTGCCTCAAACACCGTTTTCCTTCTGATCATGCTTGTAGCAGAGGAGTTTCAGCTTCTTCATCTTCAGTTGCTAATGGTGGGTTGAAGAATTTTCTTAGCTGCTTTTGTTTCAAGAACAGAACAACAGAAAAGGCCTAGAACCAGTGCAGCTCCTTCTGTTAAGGTCCATTGAATATATTGCTTTTATGTTATGATTTTTAAATGGTTAGAAAAATGTCATTATCTTTTTTTTGTTTTTTGGAATGTTCAAATTACATCATAAACTACAATGTTGGGATTTGTTTTATTTAGATCTCATGTGGTAGCACACATCAACGCTCCCATTTAAACTAATGTCATAAATAGCACCTTTGCAATAATAGATTTTCTTTGTCATGCATATACTATTGATGGTTATTGGCCTCATTGAATGATTCTATCTCTTTCCTTCCATATTCCTCAATTTATATATTATTGTGTCATATTATCAGTCAGTGTGAGATTTCCATATTTCTCATCCGCAGCAAAAAATAAAGGATCGATGATGTGACTGAAATTTGTGATAGAGTAAGATAGGAATGCAGATAAAAAAAATTACATAGGATTTTTGGTAAATACAAATATAATACCTACATATTATTACACCTTTCTTTTGACTTGTCTTTCAAAGCATACAGCCCGTAACAACTAACAAGTAACTCAATACACAATATTCTGAGTGTTACATATTAGCTGTTGATTCTTTAATTTCCTCCAAGGTGATAGCCTGCAAGGCAAGAAGACGAATTCAAGAGGAGAAAATAGCATGTTCTAATAAACTATGTACGTGCTGCTAAATGATGGAGATAGCACTTTCAGCTAACAGGGTAAAATTACAATTTGAACAAACTGAATTAAAGAATTACCTGTTCGTCGCCAGCAAAGTCGTTATCAGGAGTGAGAAATAGCATGCAGTGGCATTCCTTCCTGTCAAGCAAAGTTGTCACGAATTGAAAATCAATACCCGAGACGCATAATTTAGGGCTTAAGTTTTTTCTCATCAATATTTCATAACCAAAAACAATACAATATAAAAGCGCTGTCATGGCACAAAAACAGACCAGTGGAGATCTTATTTAGTATATAATTCAGCAACCAAACTTACATTGCATATAAACAAAGGCAGTCAGGTTTCAAACCTGATAACAATGTCCTCACAACAGTTTTTAGCCAACTTGCTCAACTAGCTACGTCTTGAACAAATAGGCATTTACAAGATAAATAAGATCATGTCTACAATGTTTTGTGATATGGTTCTTTATACGTAAAAGAAAAAAAAAATAAAGGTTAAACAAAAATTCCACATTGGTAAAAAGTCATCAAGTTTCCAGTTTGCTTTATCTATACTTCTCTAAAGAGTACAGACAAGTCTCAAGCTTCTGGTATTATAACTTCTGCCACGAATGGTATGTGTGCTATTGTGCTGTGCGGGTTTCAAAACATTATTAATACTACTAATCATAAATTAAACTAATATAAACATGACATAAAACTTGGTCATTACATCAAACTAATAAGAATGAGATCAAAGAAGGGATATTCTTTTCCATGTAGTAATACTTCTAGATATACATACCTCTCTCTCATGGGAACACAAGGGCAATTCCAAAATCCTTGCGCAGCCTCAGCAGCTTTATCGTCATAATGCCTAAAATACAATGATTTTGGGCTTAGACTGGGAAAGTTAGAAGCATCAATACTGCCAGAACTATACTATGCAGACAAATTCTGCTTGACATCAAACTATACAGCCACACTGCCAGAACTATACTATGAAGACAAATTCTGCTTGACAAGCTAAAAGAACAGGTATCTACCGGCAAGGGCACAGTGGTGCACCCAATGAATCTTTATGGTCAGCCAACCCCTGTTCCAACATAGAAATAATATAAGGAAGAAAGGTTAACTAATCAAATATGGTGATATGTATGTAGACTCTCTTACGTCATTCTCCAGATTAAAATACGTTTTATTAATTAAATATAATATAGTCCATCAAATCACA